ATGTACATATATATATATATACACTGTAGCGGCCTACAGCCTTCAAGACACACTTGAGTTTTCGCGGAGTCTTTCGCGGAGCTTTTGCGGAACTTTCGCGCACTCCACTGCAAAAATCCCCAATCCTGAGACCACGAAGACCCTGTAGGCTCTGCTCCGCAGGTCCCCTGTACTGCACGTTGCACCGTATGAGCTTCCAACAGCCTTACAGATCGAACTCCAGGCCCGTGTGACATGAACCAGTCAAGGCAAGTACTGAGGACTAGTTCAAGTTTGATGTTCGCCATGCAGAGGGTGCGACGACAGGCCGGGAGTTCAAATCTGTAGGGGCTGGGGACTCAAATGATACAAAAGTGCAGGAACTCATTCTCCATAGGGTTTAAGGTTCACGGCTTACAAGGTGCCATGGACACAGCTAAAGAAGCGACAGGCTTTAGGGCTCGGTGGGATTCGAGCAGTTTCGCGGCATGATAACAGCCGCCCACCTCACACGAGCTAAAAGCTGCAAGCAAGACATGTTTGAATCCTGTCGTGTGGTATCGTGTGTCGACACATCGTTCGCACGTGCGTTCCTTTCGCGCCTGCTTTATCGATGTTTTTGCGGACCCTTAGACCCCGTCACTTTGCCGGTCTTGTATAAACGGTGGACGCGGGCCTTTAGAACAATCATCATATATACATATACATATACATATGCATCTACATATACATATATATATATATAGGCATATGTATATATACATATATACACAAATACTAACACCTTTGTACATACCGAGATACCAAGAGAAACTTATTTATTTACCTATTCATGCATTTGTTCATTCATTTCTTAAGACAGTTATTTTTATGAATGTTTCTGGTGTGATTCGCGGATCCCAAACGATCTCAGGGTAGTCCGGGGATGTCATGAGAGACTACCCCGAACCCTAAGCCCTAAACCCTAAGCCCTCAACCCTAAACCATAAACCCTAAACCCTAGGCCCTTAGCCCTAAACCCGAAACCACAAACCCTAGGTCCTAAACCCAAAACCCTAACCATGCTGCAGGCAAAAGGCAGCTGGTCTTGACCCGCAGGGTCTGCCAGCCTCGAGGAGCTCTTGAGCTAGTACTATTAGTGTGTCGTGCGGCGTGCTGCAGTGTATTAGAGATATTATAAAGTAGTATAATGTAGATAGTATTCGAGCTTACTATGGTAAAGTATAGTGTGTCACAGTTTGGGAGCAAAGAAGACTTGTACTTCCAGGTCTAGTCTGGCAGCCTTCCCAAATCGCCGGGCGGTTTGAGGTTCAATCAATGCAAAAATTCGACACCGCACCCTTGCAGCTCTTACCCGAAAACCGCAGGTGGCCTGGCCGCAGACTCTTGCCGCTGCTCTGCGAGCTCCTTGCGGCACTGTGCCAGCTCCTCTTGCCTCGGAGTCGGAACTTGCATGGCTACGATCCACAGCTCTACGCGACGTACACCCCAGAGTCCTTCGGAAGCTCGACTGAAGCCGAAAAGAAACAACTCTTGCCAACACCCAAGCCCCTGGATGCTGATCGGTGGCAGCCGGTCCTGATCAGCGGTGTCTGCGAGCCTGTACAGCAGTAGTGATCAGTAGTGCATGAGCAGTGCATTGGCAGCTGCCTAGGGCTTCGGGGAGTTGTAGTCTAAGCTTCCATCAGAACCTGCGAGCATGTGGGAGGCCAGCAATGGGCCAGTGCTG